GGCAGCGCCCAGCTCTGCCCGCCCGGGATCCCTCGGGATGATTCCCACAGACCGTCCCGTCCCTCCTGACCCCGCGGGGGGGAGCAGGGATTGAGCTTCTCCTTTGCCACTCGCCCTCATCTTTCCCTTTCCCACCCCTAATAACAACCAAAACAACACCCCCCCGTTTTTTAATCTTCCCGTGCAGAACGAGGCAGTGAGACCCACGGACACGAACACGAGGGGTTGGTTTGGGTTCCCCAGTTTCCCAGTGGTTGTTCCTGGGACGGGTTGGGCCGGATCCTGGGTGCTGAGATGTGGTAACCCTGGAGCCTTTCCCTTCTGTCTTGTATCCAGAGGCTGATGCAACCCTTCCAGAAGGATATCCTGGGAATGTCTCACCTGGCTGCAAAGCAGAGGAGCCTCAAGCAACTGGGACAACTCTGAGATCCTTTGGGTAAGTCCCTCTCCCTGTCCTGCTCCCAACTTTTTCAGCTCTTTTTTTGCATCCCACCTCTCAGAACCTGGGACACGAGGATCTGATCTTCACTAAATATTACCAAGCAGCCCAGAATTGGTTGGAATAAGCCATGGTTGGAGTGCAGGAACTCCTCAGCATTCCTGGTTTTAGGAAGATCCCACTCGGTTTATCGACTGCAAGTGACGGGTCCCGTTCACCACATGGGGATAATGGCATTTGAGGAGGAATAAGGGAGGGAAGTGGGGACACCACGTAGCCAGAGAGGAAAAAGACATGGAAAAGAGAACTGGGAGCCAAGGAAACCCAGGAGGTGACAAAGTTTGGGAAGACACAAGTGGCCCTGGTGGCCCCACGGATACGAGCGGAGCCGGGAGGTCCCTGTGGAGCAGCTGCACGTTGGTGTTTCCTTGACCAAACTACCTGGCACACCTGGATAATCCTTCCAAACATGCTGGGAAAGGGGACAAAAAGTCTTGTTTCCAAAGCAGGAGGAAGTGGGAATGTTCTCTTTTCCTTCTTGGATCCCTTCTGTCAGAGGGGGAATTCTCTGGCGTGGCTGTTTCCAAGCTGGATTTAGTTCCCTGATAGGATTAGTACCTCCTAAAAAAAACAACAACCTCCTGGTTTATTTGCCTTCCTTTCCTCTCCTTCCCCCTTCCCTAATCCTAGGAATCTGCAGCTCCCCTGGCAGGATGGACACCCTGAGGAACAAGACAGTGGAGGAGCTCCAGGAGCTGCAGGAAAACGCCGAGGAAATCGAGCGCCTGGCTCTGGAATCCCAGGAGGTGTGTGAGGACACAGGGAGGTTGGTGAGGCTGGGGTGACACCTCAGCCAGAGGTGACTGTCACCTCTGCCTCCCCAGGTGCAGGAGCTGCAGCTGGAAAGGGAGATGGCCCTGGCTTCCAACCGCAGCCTGGCCGAGCAGAACCTGAAGTTCCAGGCCCCGCTGGAGTCGGGAAGAGCCGACCTGTCCAACAAATATGAGGAGCTGCAGGAGCTGGCAGAACGTTGTAAGGAGCAGAAGGCAAAGCTGGGTGAGCCTCTGGACAACCTCCTTCCTTTCCCTTCTCCCAGCCTGAGCAGAGAGAAACTCCTTGGGGTGGTGGCAGAAAGGATTCCTGGGCATCAAATTCCTGCCTTCTCCTGGTCAGAAGCAGTTGGTTGGATCCCAGAGCTGTTCAGTGCAGCTGTTGCTTCTCCTTTTTCTCTTTCATCTCCTTTCTTCCTTGGGAGGATGGGGAGACCCTGGGCAAGCCCATGAGGCTGCCCCATCCCTGGCAGTGCTGAAGGGCAGGTTGGATGGGGCTTGGAGCAACCTGGGCTGGTGGGAGGTGTCCCTGCCCATGCAGGGGGCTTGGAACTGGATGATCTTCAAGGTCTTTTCCAACCCAAACCATTCCACAATTCCATGACCAACCCTTTCCAAGGCAGGAAGTTGTTCCCAGAAGGGTGCAAAGAGGCTGGATGTTCATCATTCCTCCCTGCTTTGTGCTTCACCTTTTCCTCTCCTGCTTTTTTCCCCTGTTTTCCAGAGAAATTCGTGGCAGCCATGCATCCCCAGACCCTGCTGGATCTCCTGCAGGTGGAGAGCCAGAAGATCGAGGAGGAATCTGAGGTGAGCACTTCCATCCAACAGCAAACCTCCAAAACTCTTGGAATTCCATTCCTGAGGATAAATCCCCTTGTAGTTTGATGGTGTTGCTCCAAAATCTTGGGATTATCTTTTTCCTTCTGGGTGCTGGGATTGGATCCTAAAATCCCTGGGGAAGGAGGAGCGGTGGGACGTGGAGCTGAACCCAGGGTCGGGGGGTTCCTCTCTCCTCTTCCAGAAAATGGCTGAGAAATTCCTGGAGGGAGAAGTGAGCCTGGAAACCTTCCTGGAGCAGTTTTCCCTGATGAGGAAGTTGTCCCACTTAAGGCGGGTGAGGGTGGAGAAGCTGCAGGAGATGGTGAGGAGGTCGGAGGCGCCGCAGCCGGATCCCGCCGGGGACTCCCACCCTCCCCCCACCGCCCTTCCCGGGGACCCACCGAAGCCTCAGCCATTCCCAACGGGAACTCCGCCCTTCCCCCTGCCCTACAGCCCCACCCCAAACATGCCTCAGGGTCCCACAGCCCAAGGAGCTCTTCCTCCTGCTCCTTTCTCCAGCTCTCCTGTCAGCGTGGGACACGTGGCCTCTTCCCAACCCAGCTCCCAACCCGCTTTTCCCTATAAACCTCCTCCAGGGCCTGGATACATCCCAGCTGCTGACACCACCCCAGGGTATCCCAAACTTCCCTCTGGGAGCTCTGCTCCAGCACCAGCCTATTCCTGGTCTCCATCCAGGGGTCCCCCACCATTTCCCACCTCTCACCCCTCTCCTCCCCAACCCCCCAGACCTGGATATCCTCCCTACTTCCCACCTGGAACAGGGAGACCACAGTGACCTTACCCAACCCAGCCACCTCTCCCAAATTTCCCAATCCCCCCACAGCCTCCCTATCCTCCTGGAGCCCCCCCACCCTTTGGATACCCCCCACCCCCAAACCCTCCACGTCCTGCTTGGCCTGGCTACTAAATCCAGACTCCTGGCAAGTGTCTTCTGCTCCCTCCTTGTTTTGTGGAAGGAAGAGTGAGCCCAGTGTGTTGCTCTTTCATCCATCAGGAGAAGAGATGGGAATAGCTCCAGGGGTCAGGCAGGCTGATGCTTTTCCCCCACTGGCTTCAGCTCCAGGTTGGATTTGTCACCATGGCTGGTGGGATGAAGTGTTGGCTTCCCAATCAGCTCCTCCAGGCTCCGGTGTGAAAACCAGGGAATTGTTTAGGTGCTTGGTTGGGAATGATGGGAACTGATCCCCCTCACCCATGGGTGAGCATGAGGCTGCTCCAGCTGTGCCTGCCATTTCCTGGCTGCCTGACAGATGTCGTGGGGTCATTCCAGAAGACAACAATGGGAATCTTTTGATGGGATTTTGGACACAAAACCTTTTCCAAGGACTTTTCCTGGAAGCAAGAGGCAGAGCCAGGCTGGTCCACAGGCCATCAGGAGCCAGGCCTTGAGATTTGGGAATTTAGAACTTCCCCACCAGTTTGGCTCCAGCTCTTCCCATCAGATCAGGCTTTCCCAGCCTGTGTGTGCTCCAGACTGGATGCCATTCCCAACTCCATCATCTTCATCTGCTCCCAGGAAGCAAAGAACTTCTTCACTGCTGCTTCTGTCCGGTGCTGGGGGTTTTCCCAGCATGTTCCAGCCATACCCTGACCCACCCAGGACTGTGGTACCTCCTTGGAGCTCAACACCTGGATATTCTCCATGCTTGGATGTGATCATCTCGGGCTGCTGCTGCTTTGGGACAACATCCCTGGGGTCACAGGGAGGAGGGAGAGTTGGAATTGCTGGAATTCCGCAGCCTCCTCTGTCCCCTGGCCTCTCCTGCCGTGCCTGAGGGGATGGGGGGGGTGGGATTCTGGGGTGCTGGGGTGTGTTCCAGGGTGCTATAGGGGGTGATCTGGGATGATCCCACCTTCCTCCCATCCCCCTACTCAGGAAACACTAATGGAGGGAGCAGGAGGTTCCTGGGGGTTTGCTTGGCTCAGCACTTGATCCCGCCTGGCTCCCTGTAAGTTATTTATGAGGAAAGTTCACTAATGGCCTAGAAAAAAGGCAAAATGGTCGAGGAGGGAGGGGGGTTTCATGGAAACAATTCCCTCTCTGTGGTTAATTCCAGTAATAAAACTTGATGAATTGCACCCTGGGTTAAGGGCAGTGGCTCCTTTGGGAGCTGGAAGTGCATCCAAAGGCCTCTTGATCTCCTGGTGTTCCTACACCAGCTTCCTCTGGGTTTTGCCCATAAAACCTCTCACCCTCTGGCAGGACCAGCTTCTTCCTACTCATTTTTCCAGCTTTTTTTTGGTTTGATTTTTCCCTGAGGGGCCTGTTTTGTACCTGGCATGAGCCTGGCTGGCCCCATCCCACCTCTTCCCTCCCCAGCCAGGAGGTGGATGCTGTGAGGAGCAGCACCGGGCGCGTTGGAAGGGAAGAGCCCAAGACATAATTACTAGAAAAAAAACCCCAAATTTATTACAACAGTTGCTGCTAATTAAATATCTCAGGACTTATTCTCAGCATTCCCACCCTCCTTCCCAGTCCTGTTGGCTTTAGTTGCCCAAATTTCCCCCCATCCCACACGTGGGGCTTCACTGGAGGACGCCGGTTTCACTGTCGTTACCACGGAGCTCAGCCCCCATTCCCAACAGGACCCCAATTTTGCTTCCACCCCTGCCCCAGTTGGGAGGAGGAGTGTGGTGATCCCACTTCTGAGAGGTGGAAAAGCTGGCATTCCCCCTTGGAATGGCTGGTAGGGTGGCTGCTTGGTGGGATGAAGATCCTGTGGCCCAGCTTGTCTCTTCGACTCATAAATAGCTTAAAAAGAAGAACCACCTCACGTTTTTCCACCAAAAACCAAGGAGCAGCTTTCTCAGAAACTGGGTGCAGCTGAAGGTGAGTACAGGGGAGTTTGGTTCCAGGCCTGGCAGGGAATGATGGAATTTGCCCTGGAACATCTCCCCTGGGGCTTGGGCAGGTTTGTTTTCCGAGGCGAATGGCGCGGATATTCCTTTGGTTCCTCGTGTAGATTCACAAAAGGGTTGGAAAGAACCTTCCAAGATCTTGTCCAACCTGCCAAGGGCAGGGATGTCTCGGAATGACTCAAAAATCCCACTTTTTCTGTGCTGCATCCCACCTCTGGGCGGGAAGGTAGGGAAACTCTTGCCAAAACTGCAGGAGAAGCCAGGAATTCAGCAGTTGCTCAACGGTGCTGCCACCTGCATGACCACCCCCGGTCATGGAGGGGGATGATGGCTCAGTTGGGGACCTGGGGACAATCCGAGGGGGTCCCAGCTGGGGTGGGGATGGGGGGGGGGCGTGGCTCGTTAATGGTGGCAAAAGTCTTGCTGTGACGTGGTTTGGTGGGAGAAGGAGCTTTGGAGGAGCCGTGTCCTGGTGTCCTCCTGCTCTTACCTGGGTAAGCTGAGGAATGGGAGCTCATCTGGGGGGGGTGAGTGTAGTCGTTGTCCCCCCGCTGCGCCCGCGGCCTGGCGGTGACCGTGCTGTTGCGGCGGAAGGAGACTGGGAAAAGAGGCAGGATTTGGAGAGGAGAACAGGATTGGGGGGTGGTTGAGGTTTGAGCAGGTTTGAGGTGCCCCCACCCACAACCTCTCCTCCCCACGAGTTGGGAGGGGGGAGGGATTGAGTAAAATCACATCCTGAGCCGGGGTTGGGCTGAGTTAATCTTGCTCCGATGAGTCAAAGCAGGAAACGAGAGCCCCGGAGTTTGGGGGGGCCAACCCGCTCACACCTCCATCCCACCCGTTCCTCCTGAGCTCCAGGGGGGCCCCAAAGCCCCTCCAAGACCCTCAAGCCAGCCCCAAACCTGAGCCCAGCCTGGGGTTGGGGTTGGGGGGTCTTGGCCCCGCTCCTCACCCGTCTGGTTGAGTCCCGTGGGGCCGATCCACTGGCGCTGCTTCTTTCTGGAGACTGGAAGGCAGAGGTGGGTGGTGGTGGTGGGGACATCTCTCCTGGGACCTGCCTCATGTCTCCCCCCACAACTCACCAGCCCCATATGCCATCCAAAATAATCTTCCCCAGGCCCCCTAATCCCCCTGCCAGACCCTCCTCCTGCGCTTTTGTCTCCGCTCGGTGTCTAATCCCTCCCCTTGGTCTGTGCCCACACGTGTTGGACAAGCTGGGGGGGACAGTAAGACAAGGAGGG